TTTATTTCTAGAATACAAGCTCGAGAGGGCAAGACTTTTTTGTTTGTTTTGAAACATTTCTCACACCAGGTGAATATCTAGCAAATACTAAACAGGAAATATTATGAATTAATGAAGCAAGAGATTGTACTGGTTTATTTTTATTTTTTTTAATGAGATAATATTTATCTCAAATTTTCCTTAGTTCCCTTTAGTTACTTTCTGTGTGTTCAGTATTTATTTTAATTTTCATTTACATTTTCAGTAATTGCCCCCCTTTTGCATTTTATTATTTCTGTACTTTATTCTAATATATTTATGCCTTTTTTATTCAGCATAACATAATGGTAAGTGGTGCATCTTCATGTAGCTAAGCATGGGAGAACTGAATTCAAATCCAATCTCCACTGCTTAATAGTTTTATGACCTTAAGCAAGTTACATAATTGTTTCCTGCTTCACTATCCCTGTTTTGAATGAAACAATAATTCTAACTCATATTATTTTCAAGAATTAAAGAAATCAAAATTAGCAAATCATTAAAACCATGGATAGCATGGAATAAATACTCAATGGTGTTAAGTAATATTATGCTTTACTAAAACATTTATTTGGATATATTAATCTCCAGTTCTTTGGTATACTTTTTAAAATATTTTCTTGTCTTTTGTACTGTCAGATTTCAAAATTTCCATTATCCTTGATCCATAATTTATAATGGTTCAAATTAAGAATACTACTTAATCTCTTTAAAACCTAAGTTCCCCATCAATAAAATGGGGATCATAACACTATTTGCGTCAATATTTGCTTAAGTATTTAATACTAAGATGAAGAATTTAATAGGACTAATACACTTAGTTCAGTAAATTTTACCTATCATAATTATTATTGTTGTTTTTAAAGTTAACGTTTGCTAAAAATGGAGCTTAGATGTATGAATAAGGGCTGGGGATGTGGCTCAAGCAGTAACGCGCTTGCCTGGCATGTGCGCTGGGTTCAATCCTCAACACCACAAAAAAATAAAATAAAGATGTTGTGTCCACCAAAAACTGAAAAATAAATATTAAAAAATTCTCTCTCTCTCTCTCTCTCTCTCTCTCTCAAAGAAGATGTATGAATAAAAGGGTAATAGTTCACTTCAAATACTCAAAAACAATTTTACTTGCTTTCAACTTCACTATTATCTAAAAACATTCTCTCCTATAATAAGCCATGGTTAAACTCCAAGTAATATTCTTTAACTAATACTCTTCAATTTGTTTTCTTTTCTTGGCATTCCCTCTGTATATTACCCTATATTTATCTAAATTAAATCTATATCCCCCATTTCTCACTTTTCTTCACTCCAAAACTTGTGATGTTAGAGCTCTCTCATAATCCAGCCTGACTCACTTAATTGTAACATTGTCTTTCTATATTTTTAATGATTTATTTGTGTAGTTTATATTATCAGTAGTACTAATGGTAATGATGAACACAAAGTGCTGATGAATGTGTGCCTTATAGACTACACAGCTTAGCTTACTTTTTTTTTAATTGCTCAGAGCCCCAAAGTCTGGGAAATGGGACAAAGAATGGGAGTAATTATTCTTTTTCTTATTTAAATTTTTCTTGAGTGAAATCATAGAGAACAGATTTAACTCCTTTTCCCCTTCCATCATATTCACACATTTAAAAATTTAATTCATTTCTATTCAGGTGGACTTGTAAACTTGGATATTGGGAGATTTTATATATATATATATATATATTATATTTGTTTTATATGTTGAATAAAAGAATAAAGTATTACCATATATATATAATATATAAAATTTTATGCCTTTTCATGTATCACTGATATTTATATTTATCAACCTGTTTAAGAAGTTGAATCTTGCTTTATGACTTTATTCATTTAAATGCTATCTTTTTAAATAATTTTAAAATTAATCATATTTTAAATTGACAAAGACAAATTATATAAATTTTTACATTGTGCAACACAATATTTTGAAATATACATACATTGTAGCATAGCAAAATCCAGATAATTAACATACACATTACCTCACAAACTAATTATCAATGTAGTGATTTTGGGGAAGGGTTGATCAAAGGCTACAAAATTCTGTTTCAGGAAAATAAATTCAACAATTTTTTAGTGCTGTGTAAATTGCAATACAATCCATTGTATGTTTGAAATTCCCTGAGAATAGATTTCAGTTGCAGTCTTCTGAAATCTTGAATACCCTCTTTTAGTTCTCAGGTGGGAGTGACTTGTCCAGAGTTCAGCCCTCAAATACTTGGGATATCATAGGTAACCGTTTCTGTTCTTTGATCTTTAGTAATATTAATGGAATTATGAAGATGACAATTTTCAAAATATATGATTACATGTGTTAGTAAAATATTGCATTAAAACAAAGAATAGCAACATGTTATAAATTAGTAGTTACTGAATTCAATCTGAAAAATTTTTCCCTGATATAAAATATTTTGTTGATTTTTTTTTGTGCTTAGTTTGACTTCTTGTCCCTTTTCCTGTCTTCAGCTCACTCTCTTCCCCTTTCATCTTTCATTCTTTCTTAATGTGGCTATATATGCATTTGAAATAATATAAATTATGAAGCATTTCTCAAAGGAATGTACTTCATCGTTTCAAAAGAATATTTTATACTTTTGATCAAATTCAGATGTTAATTTCATATAAATGTATCACATTGAAGCTGACCTTCAATTAAAAAATCAATTGCAACATTTAAAAATTGTATTTTATAGGATGAAAATTGTGCTTATAGATTAATTCTGAGAAGGAAATATTGCTATCAACATATTTAATTAAGCATATTTTATATATTTTTGTCTTAATATGTTTTTTTAATGAAAAAGTATTGTTAATGTTAAAATGAGGTAAGGTATGTTATAATATGTAAATAAACTAATGATAAACTTTAAAACTGCACTGATCCCAAAGAAAGGAAATGTTTTCCTTATTTACTGCTTTGAGTATGTGTGTGATTTTATACAAATGCATTTTTTTTCCAATTACTGTTCAAATAATTCTGTTTGTTTTCAGTAGACACTGTGCTCTATCATAAAGCTAGAATTACTTTCCTTTCTGATATTTGACAATATCACACTTTAATCACTTCCATATATAGAGTGTTTACTATAAATACTTTGTTAATCCTGATCTTGTGTGTTTACTATTACTCTTATTTTCCAGATGAAGAAACTAGAATATAGTACAGCTTGCCAGTGTGGGTCAGAATTCAAATTCGGATTCACAAGCAGCAGCCACTTTGTCCTTATCTGATGTGATTTGATCCCTATGATAATATCAATAATGCAACCTTTGCAAATTTTCTTTCTTCCAGAACATAGAAATGTTATCATTCATATAAAATATATATTAACAACTTTTAGAGATTTTCCATCAGATGACATCTTATGGATATAAAATATATGTTTCTAGAATTCAACCCCTGGTACCTAAATATATAAATAAATAATAATAAACATGGTTTGATTTAGATGATGGAGATTTAGCCCAGGGGTGTTTTACCACTGAGCTACATACCTGGCCCTTTTTAATTTTTATTTTGAGACAGAGTATTGCTGAATTGCTTAGGACCTCACTAACTTGCTGAGGCTGGCCTCAAACTTGCAATCCTCCTGCCTCAGTTTCCTAAATTGCTGGGGATTAGAGGTGTACCACTGCAACCAGCCTATTTAATTTCATAAATGAAAATGTTTATAAAGTATATGCTGTATAGTCTAAATTTTTCCAGTTAAATCTATATGTATAATATCAATCTTTTAAGAGACCTGAGTTAAACCAGATTAAAACGTTAATCTCAAATACTGAATCAAAAGGCTTCTATTTGGGACTCCTGATATATAGCTTCACTTAGGGTAAAAGTTGAATTTCCCCAAAGACAGGATTCTAGAAGAATAGGATACATCTTAACTGAAGAATGTCTTAGTCAAAGTTACTAGTCCCTCATTATGTCTCCTGCATATAGCCCACACTTGTCACTTGTTGCTAACCTTTCTTAGGTCCTAACCTGATTACCATTTCTCTCTCATGACAATCAATTAAACAAGCTGACCAGGAGACACTTTACAGGGTGATACCCCCTGTAACAGTAGTGCCATGATTCAGTGGTACTTGAGTAAATCCAAGATTTTTTCCCAGATTATACAACTCTCTTTAGTTTCAGTGCATGTTTTTTCCCCTCCTTCTTCTAAGAGATGATGCAATATAAAAGAGAAATTACTTTTATTATTATCACGTTTCCATCAAACGTTAGCACAAAAATGGTGAAAAAGAAACTAATAGATGTGATAAGATTCTCAACAAGATTATTTTTCCTTTTGTCATTATTCTGTATGTTCCTTGAATTAAAACAACCTTATAAAAATCTTTCCATTTTTTTCTTTTCCATTTACATTTTCTTCCCAAAGAAGAAAGGTGATGTTTAAAAATTTACATTTTGCCTTCTTACTTGAATATATGTTATGGTTTTAGATATATGGCTTTGCCTCTAGGGAGGCTTCTCACAATTGCCAAAGCAGGTGATCTTGATCAAGTGTGTTTGTCCATCATTATCTCAGGATTGGTAAGGTGGGTTCTTTTCCAGCATTAGAAAGTTGCTATTGCCTGGGGGTAGTTTTCATTCATCACAAGATGTTTGTAGGATTAAACATTGTTCCTAGAATCCAAAGTGACTCAGAACAAAGGAGATGAATGCATATTGGAGGCAGAAGTGCCAACTCTTTAATCCCACATTTAGCCACTCACTGGAAATTTGCAGGCAAAGGTGAAGTGTAAGTGCTTGTTAAAATTTAATTTCATATAATTTAAATTCATTATATAATTTTTAACATATATTAACATTAAGTTAAATGTGTAATGTTTTATGTTATTGTTCTGATGATGAAGATAAATTTGTTTGATAAATCTGATTTATTTAGCATAACATTTGTTTTTTAGGAGGTACTCAAATTATATTGTATTTACATAAGATTTTGAAGGACCCCAAGGCCCCAGGCCCAACATTAGGAAAACTAACCCCTGTGCCCTGAAGCTGCAAGATGTTCCCTCACCCAACCCCCATGTCAAAACCCCTCCAGCAGCATGTAGCACCTCAGGTGTTGCACAATGTTACCACAAGATGTTCCATGTAGATAACCCTAACGGGCCCCCTATCACAAGATGTTCCTTTTAGACAGTCCTACTGGTTAAACTTGAGAACTAGGTTTAAAAACAGGAACTGAAAGGACAGAATGCAATTTTATGGTTTTTTTGAGAACAAAAAGTTGAAAAACAAGTTTACCCCCCTAGGTGACTCAACTGCTGAATTCAGAGGGACCAATAGGAAGGCTGTTGCTGTGCTAAGCTAAGACCTAACCCACCTGTTCCATATAAAAGATCTATACCCCAAAGCCCGGTGTGCCAGCTCATCGAAGCTCCGGCTGAGGTTTTGCTGTGCACCCGCAGGCGCCTGTGTGAGAATAAACGCCTCCTGCTTTTTGCAGCCAGTGTCTCGTGTGGTTCATTCCGGGTTTGGGATCTGTGGATATTTCATTGTGGAGGTTCCACCGAGATCCAAGATCCCGGTTCCGGTTCGATCCCGGTCCCTATCCGGAGGACACCCGACATCACTGGGAGGTAAGCTGGCCAGCTCAAACTGACTGTCTTGTTGTCCTGTTGGTTATCTGTTCTTTGTTCCGCGCAGCGTCTGTAAGACTATATGATCCTAGGCATAGTCATTTAGTATTCTGAGTATTCTGAGGCAGTTCTGTCATTTAGTATTCTGAGGCAGCTTGAGAAGGAGTTGACGAACTCGGACTTCTCCCCTGCCACCCTGGGAGACGTCCCAGGGATCAGAAGGGTCCATTTCTTTGGGGCCCCCGGTGTTTCCGAGGGTTACACCATTTTTGTAGGCGACAAAAAAGTACAAACTTCTCCCAGGCCATCTGATTTGTTCGGTTTCCACCGAAGCCGCGCAGCGATCTCACTGTTTGGTTTCGTTTTTGTGTCATTGTGTCTGTCTCTCTATTTCCTCTCTGAGAATAACATGGGACAATCACTAACAACCCCTTTGAGCCTAACTCTAGATCATTGGCAAGACGTTCAAGATCGGGCAGACAACCTGTCCGTGACAGTCAAAAAAAAAAAATGGGTAACACTCTGTACCACGGAGTGGCCAATATTGGCCCACCCTCGAAGTTAAATGGCCCCCAGAAGAGTCCCTCCATCTCTCTCTCTAATTTGCAAAGTCAGAAATTGTCTTTCAGCCGGGGCCGCATGGCCATCCAGATCATGGCTTTTAACCTTTCAGGACCTCTGCGAATCCCCTCCTGCATGGGTGGGATCCACGCAGTCCGCTGGGAGGATTCCACCCGGCGGTATGGCGGATCTGTCCCGTCCCTGTTCCTCCCGGCCCCTCCACCCCAGGAAGCGAACGGGTCTTCCTGGAGTCGGGCTGCTTGGAAATGCAGCCCAAGGCGGATGATAAATTCTATCTAAGGCTAAATACTGAGACTAGGGAAGCAATGTTTTCTTCCCCCCCCCATAACCGGCTTGAGTGCAAATAGAGATGCCTGCTGGGGATTTAACAGCTTTGACATCTCGCTTTGACTTTTCTCAAAGCCCTGTCCTCATTATTAAATTAATGTTAATTAACTTTAGAGATGGGAACCAAATTTTCAGTCACAAATTTTGACACTCTCAAGGGGACTTTTAAGGAGTTCCCACTCTGCTTTCTTGGGGAAGCCTAGCACTTGAAACAACTGCAAGCAGAGGATGGACTTTTTGGGAGCTGGCTACTAACAAGTTAAAAAAAAAAAAAAAATACCTAAACTAAAGGAACTGATCCTGTGGGTAAAAGATAGGATTAAGGGACTCCCAGCAGCTGCCAGAGCCATTTAGCTCTGGGGAGTTCCCTGGGTCCTTATCTACATCTTAAGGATCTGTTTACTTAATCTCTGTTTACTTAAAAAAAAAGGGACACTGAATGCAATAAAGCCAGTCACACTGAGACCCTTGATTTTACACCTATAGTTGCCCTTACGTGAAAACATCTGGTCCACTCATAGAAAAGTCTATGGTGCCACTGATAAAAGTCATAATTAAATAAAAGTTCAAAACCTGGAGAGATATTTTCTTATCTGGTTGTCTAATTGTTTCTTAGAGATAATCTAAGTTAAATGTGTGTCTAAAAAAAAAAAAATAATAATAATAATAATAATTTTTTATTATAACAATCTGGTATCTAAATGGGTTTCTAAAACATTGCACTATCTTACAGTTAAAAGTTGGGTTTAAACAATTGTTTAGTTTGATTTCAGATAGTTCATGCTAGAAAACTTAAATACTTGGGATAAAAAATTTTAAAAGTTTCAATTTTGAACTGGGTAGCCTAAAAAAAAAAATTAAAAATAGATCCAAATATCTTTAATTCACGTGATTCAAACGGTTCAATTTAGATTGGATAAACAGATAAAAGTAAAGATGTCCTCAAAATTAAACTTATAAGTTTCTCTAGGTGTTCAAAAAGGCCCTAATAAAATGTTAACTCTGCTTAAATTTAAAAGTTTACAAGTATTGTTTCAAAATGTGAACAAAAAAAAAAATTATGTAATTATGGTGTTATTAATGTGTTCATATCTTCCAGGTATACAAGTCTGTAAGGTAAAAGCTTCAAAAAAACATTATATCAAGCTGGTGTTCTAAAGTTGTATGGTAATTTTAGGCTTAAAAAAAAAAATGTTAAAAATTCCATTATATCATTTGTGTTCTATAACTGAACTTGTTATCAATAAGATATGTACAGTTCCATGTTACTTTCTACTCTAAGATACAATTTATGTATTTTTAAGTTAATAAAAGCCTAATCTGTGTAAAGGTTTAATTACAAAACACAAAAGTACATTACTACTTTTCTACAAGAAGTTAAAAGCTTTCAGCCTTTAATTCATATTTTAGGTGTGATATTATGTTGTGTTAGCTAATGTTCATGTAAACTTAAACAACAATTTATGTAAACTTTGTAAAATGATCAGCTTCAGAACTATAGTACTTGAGATTTATAAAGAGCCCTGCCTTACTTGAGATAAGGCTCTGTCCCATCTCACTACATGTAAAAATGGCTATAAAAAAAGTAAGCCAGATTTCAGTACAGTTAAAGTTGTGTCCAAAAGTAGGTTTTTGCCAAGATTACTAGGATCTCAAACAGAAAATTATGATGTATAACCTTGCCAGAATTCAAGGTAGCTATTATATAAGCTAAATATGTTTTTACCCTAGTTAGTTTTGTTTTGTAATTTGCTTATAGATGGTTTAAAGATTGCCTATTAATATTCTAAAGAGGTATTGCTTTAAGAACACAACCTGGGTCAACATAAGATAAAGAGTTATCACCTACAGGATAGAGAGATAGACATTAAAGCCCAGTGCTCTTAATATAAGGCTGTTAACTTATTTGCTAGATGTTTAAGATCAAGTTTTTAAAATTAGTTAAATTAAAAGGGCCAAAAAAACCAATATTTGGCTCTTGCCCTCTGAGTCAGTCTGAATCAGGGAATAGGAGACTTCTCCAAAGGGCTCAGCAACTCTAGGCCACATAACCTCCTGAGCAGGGAGATTAATGAGACCAGTGGAGGACAGAAAGCCAAAGGGTACATTTGCTGTAAAGAGGAGGGTCATTAAAAAAGGGAGACATCCCTGATACTTCTGAGGGAAGCCATATGGTCAAACAAGGCCTGGACCCATCCTAGCGCAAATGGCACTAGCAGAACTGAAAAACTGCTATGAAGTTCCCGAGGACTCCCAGGATAACTCAGCTGACTGTAAACAATAGGTAGAAACAAAAGTCAGTTTGACTTGCTTCATCTTAAACACTTAGCAAAGACAGTCAAAGCCAAAGCACAGCTGTTCCTGGACATCTTAAATAATAATAATAATTAAATATAACTTCCATAAATAAATAAACTAAAGGCTACAAGAAAGATTCTTAGACAGAAATGCCTGATAACTGTCAAAGAAACTACTAAAATAGTTTTAGTCTAAGACTTTTATTTCTAGACAACACAGGTAGACTTGATGTTTGCTAATATGGTTATCCAGCCCTAAGTAGCAAAATTAAAGATTTCTCTATTAGACACAGAGAAAAAACAAAAGGCTCTTTTGAAAGCTCGCAAAAATGTGCCAGGGGACGACGGGCGCCCCACCCAACTCACAAATTTGATTAACGAAGCTTTTCCTTTAACCCGGCCAAACTGGGACTATGCAACTGAAGCAGGTGAGAACCACCTACATCTCTATCGCCAGTTACTCATAGCGGGTCTCCATGGAGCAGGGGGGTCTCCATGGAGCAGGGCGACAGCCCACCAATTTGGCTCAGGTAAGACAGACTATCCAGGGGTCAGAGAAAACTCCGACAGCCTTCTTAAAAAAATTAAAAGAGGCTTATCGGAGGTTTACTCCATTTGATCCTGATAATGAGGACAAAAAAAAAAACATTTAATGGGCCTGCCTTCGTCTCCCAGGTAAGTCAGGCGGTAGCCAATACATTAGAGATTAATTAAAAATTACATTATGGTTATAGACCCCAAAGTTCAGGACAGGTAAAAAAGGTAAATAAAACCATTAAAAAAACTTTAACTAAATTGACACTTAAAACTGGCACTAGAGACTGGGTACAACTCCTACCTTTAGTCTTGTATGGGGCCCAAAACACCCCAGGCCCACATGGACTAACCCCATTTAAAATCCTGTACGGTGCCCCACCTCCCGCTATTAACTTTTATAAAACTAAAACCTATGCCTCCCTCACCCCATCTATGCAGACTCATTTGCATGCTTTGCAATTGGTCCAGAACGAGGTCTGGAAGCCTCTAGCCGCAGCATACAAAGAGGAACTTAAAACCCCCTTGCTGCCACATCCCTTCAAGGTCGGAGATACCGTCTGGGTACGCAGGCACCAGAGCAGGAACCTCGAACCGCGGTGGAAAGGACCCTACACTATCCTGCTGACCACTCCTACTGCACTCAAAGTGGACGGCATCGCTGCTTAGATCCATGCTTCCCACGTGAAGACTGCACATCCACAGGAGTCCGCAGACACCTCTCCGGATCCAGAATGGAAGTTGCAACGTACCCAAAATCCGCTAAAGATAAGACTCACTCGCTGTTAATTTTTCTTGCTTTGTGCTGTGTCTTCCCCATATCAGTTAACCCCAACCAATCTGTGAGCCAGACATGACAAGTATTATCGGGGACAAAAAATATAATTTAAAAAAAAAAAAAAAAAAAACAAAACAGGATCCCCCACTTTCTGCCGACTCTTGCAGGAGCCTGAAATGGTACGGGGCAGGGCCATGTACCGCATTTGCCTGCAACCCCTTAAACATTACCTTTACTCAGGCAGGCAAAGCATCAAAAGATTGGATAAAAAAAAAAAAAAAAACAATGGGGCCTGAGAGTATATCATAAAACTGCCTATGACCCTGGGGTCCTATTCAAAATTAGATTAATAGTAAATACCAACCCCCAACCAGTATGCTGAGCCGTCAGCTAAAATAATGCTGGAATCCGAGCAGATGGGTCAATGGATATAAAATTATATCCATGATATAAAAAAAAAAAAGGGGAATGAAGGACCCCAAGGCCCCAGGCCCAACATTAGGAAAACTAACCCCTGTGCCCTGAAGCTGCAAGATGTTCCCTCACCCAACCCCCATGTCAAAACCCCTCCAGCAGCATGTAGCACCTCAGGTGTTGCACAATGTTACCACAAGATGTTCCATGTAGATAACCCTAACGGGCCCCCTATCACAAGATGTTCCTTTTAGACAGTCCTACTGGTTAAACTTGAGAACTAGGTTTAAAAACAGGAACTGAAAGGACAGAATGCAATTTTATGGTTTTTCTGAGAACAAAAAGTTGAAAAACAAGTTTACCCCCCTAGGTGACTCAACTGCTGAATTCAGAGGGACCAATAGGAAGGCTGTTGCTGTGCTAAGCTAAGACCTAACCCACCTGTTCCATATAAAAGATCTATACCCCAAAGCCCGGTGTGCCAGCTCATCGAAGCTCCGGCTGAGGTTTTGCTGTGCACCCGCAGGCGCCTGTGTGAGAATAAACGCCTCCTGCTTTTTGCAGCCAGTGTCTCGTGTGGTTCATTCCGGGTTTGGGATCTGTAAATATTTCAATTTAAATATCTGTACTTTCAAGGTTGTAATATTATTTAAAAGTGTGATACAAGGTACTAGGGGACATATATTTAATAATTAAAATTATAATCATATGCAGATATATTTTCTTAGCATTATAAGTGATATAAAGCTATTGCAGGGCAATATTACTTCTCACTTACTCAAAGAAAATTTTTGTTAAGAAACTTACAGAATAAGCAAAGAGAATGCTCCATGTGAAGTGGGAGTCATCCAGAGAGGACTGGGCCTGTGTCTTTCCAAATGGAAAGATTGTATATTTGGTCTGGGAGTCTCTCTCCTCATGTATTATGTATTGGGGTGGTTACTATGGTTTTGGGGCCATGATGTAATGAGTCTACACTGGTTTGGCCACATTGAAAAATCTGCATCAGTAGTGTGTTTACACAGGTTTCACCATGTTGAAGACTTTACATTTATATCTAGGTGAAATCTATGCATGTTAAAGTCATGATATAAATTAAAGTGAATTAAGGTCCCTCAAATGATGATGCTTTAGTACTCTTTGCATGTTTTGAAAGTGGAATGGTTAAGCTGGTTACACCCAGTTTATCTAGTTTAAGAAAGTAGTTTCTGAGCATGAAGGAGGCCAGGTTATGGGTGGGGTTTCTGTCACCCAAAGTGGAGTGATTTTACATTGTTCAAACTAAGATGATCACTATTTTTTCTTCCTCCATCTGCTCATGTCTATGTGTTGTGCTTGCTTATTTTAATAAAACTATTATGATGTGGAAAAAAACTGCATTATAGAGATGAAAATAAGTGAGGACAATGCATATTTTTTTTAGAAATAGAAACCTGTTTTTGAAATAGAAATATGGGAAAAATCAGAAACCTGGTTTTTGACATAGGAATTTGTCAGAAAAAAGAAGATATATTGAATCTCAAAAGAGAAGTGCCCATGAACATTAACAATGCAGGAAGCCTTTTAATCCATGAACCTTAAAATGCAAAACAAGCAATTCATGAGAAACCCAAACCTCCTCATTGGCCCATGCCCTTTCCTGCAAAAGGTAATATGACAGGAGGGCAATTAGAAAGCACTAGTAAAACTGCTGACTAATCACATAGCTCCACCTCTAGTCCAGCCCCTAGCTATTATCTACAAATATTAACACCTTAGAATAAAGAGTTGCTTTCTCTCCTACAGTAAATTGTCCACATTCTCCCTTGAATGTGTATTCCTTGATTTACCCCAATGTTTCTCACTCTCTAGATGGCTCACCTTCTCCACTTAATGTGTATTTCTTCCTTTTCCCCCCAAAGTCATCACTCTTTGAGATAACCTGCATTCTTCTTTGATTGTATGTCTGCTTGCCTGAATAAATTTTTGTGTCTGATTCATGGTAAAATTATTTTCCTTCATGCATGCCAAAAACTCTATTTGTCCTGAGTCAAGTTTCCCTTCCTTGGAAATTTCTTCAGAGATAGTTTCCAAAGAAAAATTTCACCAGAAAAGAGGCTTAGGAGACTCTGTTTTAGACAATTATAACAGGAGTCAACACTGCTGAAGCAAAACATTAATTATTAATCACTGGGATTGACAGGATTAGGCAATTTGTGATTACTAATTACTATTATTACAGGTGTTCTCCTTCCTTCTCACAAAGACTGAGATACAGGCCCTGTCTTCCTTGATGGTTAAATTTCCACAGGATAGATTCTAGCTTCTTGAAAAATAAAGTCCTGGATTAAAACAACTTCAAGGGTTTGGGGTAGCTCAATGGAAGAGGACTTCGATAGCTTGTGAGGATTCTCCTTTAGAACAGAGTGAACTCATGCAAGTAGAAGCTGCTGAAACACGCTGATTCCCTTCTGCATTGGCAAGGACTTCTAAGCCAGACTATTCAAAGCGCAGTTCAGCCCTTCAACATTACATTGCATGCACACTATTTAAATGGTGGTTGCAAGGTTTGTTTGTGGTTGAAGTAGACTACAACAGAATTCTTCACTGCACAGTCAGGTTCAGTTTCAGCTTCAAGCCTCAGCACAATTGTTAAACAACAGTTTGGAGAAAGCAGGAAAATGCAATTAAAAGGGAGTATTGTGAAAATGGTGGACCAATAAATTTCAATGAAACTTTGGTGAATGAATCCCATAACATTTCCTTCCCCCACCCAAAGTTTGTGAGCCTAGTCCCAAGGTTTTTTCTTGCTACCACCATTTAAATAATATGCCTGCAACATGATGTTGAAGGGCTGAAGTGTACTTTGAATATGATAGCTTAGAAGAGCTTGTCAATGCAGAACAGAATCAGTGTGTTTTAGCAGATTGTACTTGCATGAATTCACTCTGTTCTAAAGGAGAACGCTCTGCTTTGTTTGTTGTTCAAGGAACATTCAACAGAACTCTTCCCAGCAAAGACAGATTTATTTTCAGAGTCTGTGCCATTGTTAAACATCAGTTCACAGGAAGTGGGCAAATGGAATGGGAAGGAATTTTGTGAGAAAGTTGTAAAAAATAATTCCAGTGAAACTTAGTGAGTTCATCCTGTTCCCATTCTTCCCTCTTTCCCCTCATTATTTGGTGAGCCTACTTACAACTTTTTCTTCCTAAACCAGTTTGAATATGTTACCACTGCTGTGGTAGGAAAAATCTGAAGTCTACTTTGAATGTGCTGGATGAGTAGAGCTTGCAAGAAACAGCAAGTAGTTTGTGCTAGCAGCTTCAACTTGCTACAATTCATTCTATATTAAACAGAAGTAGTTTGTGCTAGCAGCTGCAACTTGCTACAATTCATTCTATATTAAACAGAAGTAGTTTGTGCTAGCAGCTGCAACTTGCTACAATTCATTCTATATTAAAGCAGAAACCTCTGCTTTGTTTGTGGTTGAAAGAGCATTCATGAGAATATTTCCATGCATGGGCAGATTCAGTTTCAGTTTCAAGCATCTTTGCCAATGTTGAACATCAACTCATAAAAAGCAGGAGATGCAAATGACATGAGTATTGTGAAAAAGATGGACCAACAAATTTCAAGAAAACCTTAGTGACTGAATGCACATAACATTTTCTCTTTTTCCCCAAAGTTTGATGAGTCTAGTCCCAAGGTTTTCTTGCTACCACCATTTATATAATGTGCCTGCAACATGATATTGAAGGGCTGAACTGCGCTTTGAATATGCTGGCTTAGAAGAGCTTGCCTGTACAGAGCAGAATCAGTTAGCAGCTTCCACTTGCATGAATTCACTCTGTTTTAAGGAGAACACTCTGTTTTGTTTGTTGTTCAAGTAGCATTCAACAAAACTCTTCCCAGCATGGGCAGTTTCAGTTTCAAGCATCTGTGTCATTCTTAAGTGCCAAGGAAGTGGGCAAACTCAAAGGAAAGTAATATTGTGAGAAAATTATAGGAAAGAATTCCAATGGAACTTTACTGAATGCATCCTGTTCACTTTTTTCCTCTTCAGTGTTGGGTGATCCTACTTACAACTTATTCTTCCTAGAACAATTTCAATATTTTGCCATGGATATGATGGGGAAAGGGTGAAGTTGGCTTTGCATGTGCTGGCTGAGTAGAGCTTGCAAGAACAGAACAGACACAGTTTTATGCTAGCAGCTTCACCTTGCTAGAATTCACTCTGTTTCAAAGAAGAACACTCTGCTCTGTTTGTGGTTGATATAATGTTAGGCAGAACTCTTCCAAGCACAGGCAGACACAGTTTCAGTTTCAAGTGTCTGTGCCTTTGGATCCTTTCCTAGGAAATAGGAAATGAAATGTCAGTATTGTGAAAAAAGTGGACTAATGAAATTCAATGAAACTTTGTTGAATGAACGATTGTGACATTTCCTCTTTCCCCCATAAGTTTGGTGAGCCAATCCCAAGGTTTGTTTTGCTACCACCTTTTAAAAAACTTTTTAAAAAAATTTGTTTAATTAGTTATACATGACAGTAGAGTGCATTTATGCACTTTTTTTAAGTGCAAATGCTGGACCATATGGCTGTTCCATTTCTAGACTTTGAGAAACACCCATACTGGTTTCCAAAATGGAAAGCATTCCCACCAAGAGTATATGGTAGTTATGTTTCTCTGCATTCTCATCAGTACTTGCTTTCTTTTCCTTTTGGTAATCACCATTCTAAAAGGAGTAAGATCATTGCGCCTTTTATTTGCTTTCCTGGTGATTGTGATGTAGATTACTTTTTAATATACTCTTTGATCATTCTCATGGATGTCTTGAAAAATGTAAATTCAGGTCATTCCATTTTAGATACATATTTGACAAATATCTTCTCCTATTATCTGTACCATCTCTTCACTCTGCTGATCCTTTTATTTTGATGTACAGAAGCTTTTGGTTTGATGTAATTCCATTTAAGTCTGTGATTCATTTTGAGTTAATTTTTTAAATATGACCTAAGATTTTTAAATATTTATGTTTTTGATGCCTTTGTTAAAATAAGTGGACTTTTAAGAATATGGGTTTATTTCTTGGTTTTCTAATCTGTTGTATAACTCTTTGTTTATTTTATGTTAATCCCATGCTCTTTGGTTACTATAGCTTTGTAGCATATTTTGAAGTCAGGTGTTATAAATGACTCCAGTTTTGTATTTTCTGCTTTGATTGCTTTGACATTTCAAGGTCTTTCTTTATTTTTTGGATCCTGTAAATATTTTAATATTGTTTTTCCCCCTAGTTATGTGAAAAATTTCATTGGTATTTTTATAAAAATTGCATTAAATCTGTAGACACATTGGGTAGTATGCACTTTAACAAATGTTAATTGTTCTTATTCATAAACTTGGTATATATTTAATTTCATCTTATATTTGACCTCTTATTTCTTTCCCCAGTGTTTCGTAGTTTCCTATGTAGATATTATTCTCTTCCTTGATTAAAGTTAATCCTCCATATTTTATTTTGACTTGATGTCTATTCCACCTGATATAAATCTTGGTACATCTATATGCTTTTGGTTTTTCTTTACC